CATCCACACTCTGCACATTCTTTGACTAATCAATCTTATCCGGAGGGCGAAATAATTTCAAGAAAGCTTAAGACTTTGATGCACCTAAAAATATACTTTGAAATAAAATGTTTCTAAATTATCCTTGTATTTCAATTTATAGCGGCAATACTGTCAAATGCGTGTAAACAGCGCCATCTATTGAAATGCATAATTAACCAATAAGGTGTTAATCGGACAAACATTATGAGTTTGGTGCACCATTTATGAAAAATCGGACGAAAATATATATGGGAGCTATATCTAAATCTGAACCGATTTTTCCCAATTTCAATAGGGTTCGTCCTTTGGCCAAAAAATGAGCTGTGCCAAATTTCAACCAATTCCAATTAAAAATGCGACCAGTACTTTGTTTGCAATTTAACATGGACAGGCGGACGGACGGACATGCATAAATCGACTTAAAAAGGGATTCTATGCATATTCTCATCATGTATATCTCGTTTCTTTTTGCCTGTTACAAACCTATGCACAAACACATAATATCCTATACCGCAGTGTGGTGAAGGGTATAACAATCACAAGACAAAGGCTGAAAAGTCCGGTACCTTTTTAAATAATAAAAATCTATATTTTCACCCAATCTAATGCCGATTTCTTTCGGACTTGAACGGTACCGTCTGAAGCCATTGTGTTGAGAATTTTTTTCAGCCTTCGGCTAATGATAGAAAATATACACATTGATACCGCAAAAATTTTCTTCATCAAAATGTTGGTTATAGACACCATGTTTATTTGAACCAAATTCGATTCAGACAATTTGGAGTCAATATACAAATGTCCGTCCCCCAGGCCGGCTGGTGTGCACGATAACTCTCGAAGGAGTAACCGATATCATCCAAATTTTGCACATCGTAATATGTATTATAAACTTAGTTCAAGTTCGAAAAGAGGAATATCGGTCCTCACCTTCCGATACCACCTCCACAATATAGAAAATATTGCGCAAAAAATTAATTTTATGATAGCGATTTAGCATGATAGCGATTTATCAAGTCCGAATAAATTCAATATACAGCGATTGGAATGTTCGAGTTGAACCAAACTGTGCAAGACCTATTATATCTACTCAACCTAGATCAAGGCAAAATAAACGTCCGAAATACTAACAACAATATAATTGGTATCAATGTTAAGGTCATTTACTTCTTTTGGATATACTTTTAACTTCTATGTCCTTCAGGAGCAAATATATACTCCATAGTAGCACGATTTGTAATTTTTCAAATCTTCACCAAAAAGTCATGCATATTCCATGAACGGACCCCTTTTTCTGTGTAAAATTTCGTGATGTTCGGGTCACAATTGGGATCTCTAGAGCGACCATTTCATCCGCCAAAAACAAACCGATCATTATCAAAAAACAATAGCGACCATATTCTTTCAATAGGATCGCCATGGAAAGCTTCAATCAATACGAGAATGCCTTCTGTCCATAGGTGCCCAAAATTAAAATGCGTTAGTATGTGTGAGAGAAAACAGAACAAAATTGTGTGTACATTTTTGTGGTCGGAAAAAAAATATTGTTGAATTTAATTTTTGTTATTATATAAATTAAAAGCATTATTAAACATGTTTTTATATGAATTACAAATTGTATATGTCACAAAAATCAAATAAAGTTTATAAAGTAGCATATACCGAGATAATAATCATATTATAATATTAAATATTACGATAATTATTAAAAATTTAATTCTTAAAAAAACAGCAATTGTTCTGTTATTTTTAAATTTTTTTTATACATACAAAACGCATTTTGAATAATAAAATAAAAATCCAAATATACTGAAACACTTTTATCCCTAAGTGTTATTTCGTTGATTTTCTAGTTGTGCGGATACGACGTCGTGCGCGCACACCTATACCATAGACGACCTTTTAGCAATCGAAGTCCCAAAGAAGGTGAAATATGCAGAATTTTCTATCCATAGAAAATCCATTCAACTGACGTTATTATGTTAGCATGCTTCCTGCATCATTCTTTAAAAATGCAAGCTGTAATATACCTTCCCAAAAGCGTGCATAAAATACGCACGATGTAATCCTATACTTTACCTAATCCTATACTTTAAAAAACCACGTTCAAATAGACCTTCATAAAATTAAACTACCTTCCTAAAACTAGGCCTTAGAAATCTGCGTTGTAATAAACCTTCCTACAACTATGCTTTAAAAAGTTTAAACTAGGCTTTCGAAATTTACGCTTTAATAAGCCTTGCAAAAACAAAGTTTAAAAATCCACTGTAATATAATATCCTAAAACTGTGCTTTAAATATCCACGCTACAACAGAACTTCCTAAAACTATGCTTTAAAGATCGACGCTGTAATAAATCTCCCTTAAACTATGCCTTAAAAATCCACACTTAAACAGACCTTCGAAAAACTGTACTTAAAAAATGCACGCTTTAATATACCATTCTAAAATTATTCCTTAAAAATCCACGCTCTAATTGAACGGCTAAATAGTATGCTTTATAAATCCACGTTGTAACAGATCTTCTTCTTTGGAAAATGAAACGGTCCTATATTTAATGGACAAACGGATAAAGGACACACATATCTAGTCTCTTCAAATCCGAAAGAAATCCTCCTTAAATTGTGCGAAAATATCGATTTTTATTATTTTAAGACATGACAGGTACGGGACTTTTCAGCTTTTGCCTTGTGATTTCCAATTATGCGCTTCAATAGATGGCGCTATCCACAGTGTTGCCGCTGTACAATGGAAATAAACGGATTCTTTGGAAGTATTAAGCATATTTTTATGTACTTCAAAGCTGGCTTGAAATTTGTTCCCTCCAAGGAAAAGATTGATGAGTTAATTATACCCTTCACCACACTTTGGTACAGGGTATTATGTCTTTGTGCATATGTTTGTAACAGGCAAAAATAATCGAGATATACCCATGGTTCCTTTTGAGAATATGCATAGAATCACTTTCTGAGTCGATTTATGCATGTCCGTCCGTCCGTCTGTAGGTGTTAAATTGTAAATAAAGTACAGGTCGCATTTATGATCCGAATTGGATGAAATTTGGCACAGCTCATTTGTTTGGTCCAAGGAAGAACCCTATTGAAATTGGGAAAAATCGGTTCAGATTTTGATATAACTCCCATATATATTTTCGTCCGATTTAAGGTAAATGTTGCACCAAATTCCCTATATATGTTTCGATATGCACGAAATTTGGCACAGCATAATGTATAAGGTCTAGAATAATGTGTGCAAAGTTTCGTGAAAATCGGTTCAGATTTAGATATAGCTCCCATATATATCTTGATCCGATTTAAGGTAAATTGTGTACCAAAGTCCCTAAATATCTTTCGATTTGCACGAAATTTGGCATAGTGTACTGAATTAATTGTAGAATCATGTCGCCAAGTTTTGTGAAAATCGGTTCAGATTTAGTTATAGCTCCCATATATATCTTGGTCCGATTTAAGGTAAATTGTGTACCAAAGTCCCTAAATATCTTTCGATTTGCACGAAATTTGGCATATGGGAGCTATACATATATATCTTGGTCCGATTTAAGGTAAATTGTGTACCAAAGTCCCTAAATATCTTTCGATTTGCACGAAATTTGGCATAGCGTACTGAATTAATTGTAGAATGATGTCTGCCAAGTTTTGTGAAAATCGGTTCAGATTTAGTTATAGCTCCCATATATATCTTGGTCCGATTTAAGGTAAATTGTGTACCAAAGTCCCTAAATATCTTTCGATTTGCACGAAATTTGGCATAGCGTACTGAATTAATTGTAGAATGATGTCTGCCAAGTTTCGTGAAAATCGGTTTAGATTTAAATATAGCTCCCATATATATCTTCGTCCGATTTCAGGTAAATTGTGCACCAAAGCCCCTTTCGATTTGCACGGATTTTGGTATATGGTACTGAATGAAGTTGCTAAGCTTCGTAAAAAGATCCATAGCTAGGCCGATTGATACAACGTACTGATGTATTATTAATTAGTCTCTGGCAAGTTTCCCTGAAATCGGTTCACATATAGATATATAACAAAAACGCGTCGTCTGTTGGGATACATATGTAGAATATACCCAAAATGATGAAGGGTATCATATAGTCGGCCCAGTCCGACTTTACTACTTTCCTTACTGGTCATATTTGTCGATTATAAAAAATAGACAAACATAAATTCATTTGTCGGAAACACTTCCGGATACTTTCTAACTAGTTGTATTACCTTTCGACACTTCCAATTTCCAATAAATTTGTCCACTGGGTAAGAGAAAAAAACACACTCACTGGTTACTTCCTATTATTTTATATTTTCGCTTTATTTTAAACAGATATACAGACAGACGTACAAAGATACACAAATACATTGGTATGAATTAATTACGCGCAAATTGCGGATTTACAAACAGTTGGTATTCTTCTTCTTATTATTATCAATAATAAAAATACATAATAATAATAAAAAATAATATTTAAAATAAGAAAAAATATATGTATATATAACCTCTACTCTACAGAATGTTTTTGTTGATAGGAAGAAAAGGGTGGGATGTTATTGTAGGGAATTTATTTGGTAGGCTACAAAAAAGTGTAATTATATTGTATGTATGCACATCAGTTGTACACACACACACATACAACTGCAGCTACTTGGCCGGTACAGACAAGTAGAGGATAATTGTGATTGGGTCAGGATGAATGGATGGATGGTTGCCTGATTGCTGGGGAATTCAAGGATAGCAAATACGTTTAAATTATTTCCTTCCGTTATGAACATGGTCGTCATCATCATCGGCAGGTTGATGAGTTAACATATATGGACAGAGAGATGGCGGTCGATACTGGCTGTTGATGGTGACGGTTATTTGCTGCTGTTTTAAAATTTACGTCCGGCAATGTACATAAATGTATGCGGTCGGTTGTTTGTATAAGTGCAACATTCTTTTTTCTCTCCAATGCACCATGAATTCACCCAACCATCCATTCATTTATCTTTGTGTAAGTATGTGTGTGTGTTTGCATACTTTGGTGTGTTTGGTGCGGGATGTATTTACATGCCACCATTTTGAATATCAGCTTCATATGCCTCATTTTCTTCTTGCTCTTCATCGAATTCAACATCCTCTTCAGCGGTAGCCTCCTGCAAAATAACAAAAATAACAACAACAATGAAAACAACATGAAGACGAAAGAAAACAATGAAAACAAACAAAACATAACCAATCGACGAAACGTTACGTTACGTTGTACAAAGATTGTGTTGCGAATTTGGAGAGCATGTTGTGGGGGGATTTTGAGGGGAAAAGGGTATGGGGAAAAATCATTGAAAAATTGTTTTTAATTAAAAAATATCAAACATCAAACAGCTTCCGATTCCGGGTAAAATCGTCGTCGTCCTGTTGCAATGGCAAATGTGTGGTTTATAGGTAGAGGTGTGTGTGTGTGTGAGTGCGTTATACCCGTTAACCATATGCCACATACACCCATACATACATTGTATTTGTATTTTGTAGACGGGGTATAGGACATATGGACACACTCATGGTCACATTCATACACACACACAAACACACCTTTTATGACCATATCATACGAGGATATATGAGGACCGTTATGTTTACTCCCAAATCAAATGTCCATTCTAGTAACGTTAGAATACAGTGGGCCCAATATACACGAATAAAAAAACTATATACGTTACATATATCCCAATGCAAACCTAGACAGAAGGCCTAATATACTTAGGGAATCTATAAAAGTTCGTGTATACATAGAGGACCGACAGAAGCACTTCTATCTAAAGGGCACCTACATATGATCTTCTATCCATAAGAAACATATAGGAAGCCTTTAGAAGGTATTCTCTTCACCGGAAATCTATAGAACTTATTCTAAACATAGTATATCCCTAGAATACCTTTAATCCATAGGGGTTCTGCAGAAGTTCGTCTAACCATAGAAGATTTACAGAGGATCTTGTGTTCGTAGGAGATTTGTAGAAGGTCTCATCATCTACTCATAGGAAACTTATCGTAGACTTGCTATCCATAGCAGACTTATAAACGGATTTCTACCCGTAGGTGACCTATAGAAATTGTTCTATCTAATATCCTTAGGGAGGAGGCCTAATATCCTTAGGGAATCTATAAAAGTTCGTGTATACATATAGGACCGACAGAAGCACTTCTATCTAAAGGACACCTACATATGATCCTCTATCCACAAGAAACATATAGGAAACCTTTAGAAGGTATTCTCTTCACCGGAGATCTATAGAAGTTATTCTAAACATAGTATATCCCTAGAATACCTTTAATCCATAGGGGTTCTGCAGAAGTTCGTCTAACCATTGAAGATTTAGAGAGGATCTTGTGTTCGTAGGAGATTTGTAGAAGGTCTCATCATCTACTCATAGGAAACCTATCGTAGACTTGCTATCCATAGCAGACTTATAAAAGGATTTCTACCCGTAGGTGACCTATAGAAATTGTTCTATCTATAGGGTGCTATACCTAGGGGACCTAAAAAAAGGATTCTATATATAGGATACCTTTAGAAACCTAGGAGATGCTTATAGCATATAGTATGTATTTTCTATCCATAGGAAACATATAGAGGCTCTCATATCCTTAGAGGGCCGTCGTAAATTGTTCTATCCATAGGCGACAAATGAAGGGTCTTCTATTCATATGAGACACACAGAAAATCTTTACTAGACCTGCATTCACAGGAGACCTATATAAGTTGTTCTATGTGACACCTGTAGAAGACCTTCAATCCATAGGCGATCTTTAGAAGCTCGTCTATCTATAGGAGATCTGTAGGTCTTGCGTCTATAGGAAACATTTAAAAAAATGTTATCGAAGAACATCTATTCATAGGAGACCTATCGTCGATATACTATCCATATAAAGACTTCTAACCATGGAGGATCTATAGAAGGCATTCTTTCTATAAGAGACCTACGAATGATCTTCTATTCATAGACGATCTAAATAAAGGGCTCCATACGTAGGGATCCTTTAGAAAGGATTCTATAGATCTATATATAACAGTTCGTCTATCCATTGGGGACCTATGCATTTCCTATTCACATGAGATATATCCATAGAAGCCCTACATAAAGTATTATATCCATAGAAGCCATATGGAAGGCTTTCTATTCTTATGAGACCTTAAGAAATCTACAGTAGACCTGATATCCAAGTAGACCTTAGTGGCCATCTTTAGAAGAAATTATATCTATAGGAGATCAATAGAACACTTTATTCTATCCACAGAAGGGTTTTGAAAGACCTTCTATTCAAAAGGAACCCAAAGAAAGGCTTCTATACATAGGAGATTTATATCTTCTCTATCAATAGAAGACCTATAAAAGATCTGTTATCGATAGAATGACATCTTTCAATAAGACCGCCACAGAAAGCCTTCAATCAATACGAGAATGTCTTCCGTCTTATAGACGACCTATAAGAGGAATATAGAAGAACTTACATCCACATGAGAACTATAGGTCTCAAGGCATTCTATCCATAGAAGACCTATTGAAGTCATGCTATTCATAGAAGACCTAAATAATGTATTCTATCCATATATTGTCTTATGGAAGGTTTTTTTTGTCAATTGAAGAAGGAAAATAAAATCTCCAGAATGTATTTCATCCATAGAAGTCCTATAGAGGGTATTTTAGCAATCAGAGACCTAAAGAAGGTGATCTAAGGAGAATTTTCTATCAATAGAAGATCTATTTAACTGTTATGTTATCATGCTTCCACCGCATAAACATAAAAGTATGCTTTAAAAATCCACGATGTAATAGATCTTCCAAAAAATATGCTTTTAAAATCGACCCTGTAAAAGAACTTCCTAAAAATATGCTTCAAAAATATTCTTTACAAATGCAAACTGTAATATACTTTCCTGAAAGTATGCATTAAATATCCAAGTTGTAATAAAGCTACCTAATCCTATACTTTAAAAATCCACGCTCCAATAGACCTCCCTAAAATTATGCTTTAAAAATTCACGCTTTAACCTACCTTTCTAAAACTAGGCATTAAAAATACCCTTTATAATAGTCCTTCTTAAAACAATGCTTTAAAAATTCCCTCTGTAATAGATCTTCATAAAAGTGTGCTTTTAAAATTCACACTGTAATAGACCTTCCTAAAAATATGCTCTCCAATTTCACGATATAAAAGAATTACCTAAAACTATGCTTTAAAAATCCGCCGACCGTCCTAAAACTATGCTTTAAAAGTCTACGCTGTAGCAGGCCTTCTTAAAACTATACTTTAAAAGTCCACGCTGAAGCAGCCCCCCTAAAACTAGGCTTTCAAAATCCACACTATAATAGACATTCCTAAAACTGTGCTTTAAACATTAACGCTACAATAGAACTTCCTAAAACTATGCTTTAAAGATCCACGTTGTAATAAACCTTACTTAAACTATATATTAAAACTTCCCGCTTATACAGACCTTCCTAGCACTGTGCTTTAAAATGCACGCTTTAATATACCTTTCTAAAATTATTCTTAAAAAATCCACGCTCTAACTGAAGAGCCAAAAAGTATGCTTTAAAAATCCACGCTGTAAGAGGCCTTCCTACAACTATGCTTTATAAACCCTCGCCATAAAAGACCTCCCTAAAACTATGCTTAATAAATCCTCATCATAATAGACCTTCCTAAAACTATGCTTTATAAATCCACGTCCTAAAACTATGCTTTAAAAATTCATAGCCTTAATATACAATCCTAAAACTATGTCTTAAAATTAGGATTTACAAATTCGCGCTTTAGTGGGCCTTCCTAAAATTATTCCTTAAAAAATCCACGTTCTGAAAGATTTCCTCAAAATATAATTTAAAAATAAAGCAAGATCTAATAAAACTTCTTTAAAATATTCTTTAAAAAAGCCACACTCTGATGGACTTCCTTGAAAATTCCCATTAAAAAATCCATGCTCTAATAAAAATATTCCCTGAAAACTACACCTTCCAATAAACGTCTCAAATGTAATCCTCCCCAAAACTGTTTCTTTAATATCTACTTTTTAGCTGACCTTCCCAAAATGTACATTAAGAAAAAACTCACCTATATAAATATATTTTTTAATTCCAAAAATATATATTTAGACCATAGTAAAAGGAGATTTATAGAAGGTAGTACATCCACATGGTACAGGGTAGGTTTCACTGTACCGCACAATTCCCTTCACAAAAATTCGCACAAAACACTCCTTCTATTACCCTAACACTCATCTCTACATATACCATGTATGCATACAAATAACACAACAACAACAACAATAGCAAACACAAAAACACATACCTGGTATTGTTGATACTCCGAAATCAAATCATTCATATTAGATTCGGCTTCGGTGAATTCCATTTCATCCATACCCTCACCGGTGAACCAATGCAAGAAAGCCTTACGACGGAACATCGCTGTAAATTGCTCCGATATCCTCTTGAAGATCTCTTGAATGGCAGTGGTGTTGCCAATAAATGTACCCGACATTTTTAATCCACGTGGTGGTATATCGCATACGGCAACCTTAACATTGTTGGGGATCCATTCGACGAAATAGCTGCTATTCTTGCTTTGTACATTTAACATTTGGCTATCGACTTCCTTCATCGACATGGGACCTGTAATGAAAACGGAAGAGAAAAAAAAACAAAATTTTTGGGATGAAAAACAAACATTACATCGTTCGTCATGTGAAGATTTCGAATCAATTTCTAATTATTGTGTGGGTGTGCATGTGTGGGGAGATTTGTATTGCAAGCGACATATTGGTCAGTTTTGCGGCCATAAGGGTTGTATAATTTTTTGCAGGAATTTCGTTTTGGCAGTGGACAATTATTGCTGCCATGAATTATGCTTAAGGGCTATTTCAATGGTACAGTAGCCCTAACATGTTGCGATTGAATGGCAGGGTGAAATCAAATAATTTCTTTAAAGGGTATGGTACACCTTTTTGTATAACAAATGTTTCCTCATTTTCCACGTTAAAAAAAAAAAATGATTTCAAATTTCTTCCTAAAAATAATATTCCTACAAATGTTCTTTAAAAAAATCACGTTCTAATTGAACTCCCTACAAATATATTAAAAAGGGCTACCAACAATATTCTTTAAAAAATCCACACACCACCTAAAATATTATTAAAACCAGTAAGGAAAGTAGTAAAGTCGGACTGAGCCGACTATATGATGCCCTTCACCACTTTGGGTATATTGTACATCCTTACAATGGCATGTCAATGTTCCCTCGAAGCAACATGTATGTTCCTTCGATGTCAATGTCTTTCTGCAACGTATAATAAATTTAATTTCATTCGGGCATATTTAGAGTCGTCTGCATACCATGGGACAAATTTATGAAAAAAGATTTATAGCTAAATTTATACACGCTATTCGGTACGCCGCACTGTTAAAAGTTTAATTTCAATCAGACACCCGTTCCAAATACATTTGGAGGCTATGGCTGCATCTGTACCAATTCAACAAAACGCAATAACGTCATTCAAGTCTCAATTTGATACACTGTTCAAAATTTCGTGTAAATCGGAAAAACATTAGGAGTTTGGAGCGTCATTTATGTAAAATCGGAACAATGTATCCTAAACTTACCACACATCATTCTAAACACAATTAAGTACGCTATGAGAACTTTCGTGCAAATCCAAGAATATTTAGGGACTTTGGTGTTATATCTAAATCTGAACCGATATTCACGAATCTTAAAACTCATCGTTCTAGACTTAATTCAGAACGTTATGCAAAATTTCGTGCAAATCGAAAGTTATATAGGGACTTTGGTGCCCCATTTACATATAATCGGACGAAAATATATATCGGAACCTGATTTTCACGAAATTTAACACACATCGTTCTAGGCTTAATTCAGTATGCTATGCCACATTTCGTGCAAATCGAAGGATATATAGAGACTTTGGTGCACTAATTACGTGAAATCGGACGAAAATATATATGTAAGCTATATCTAAATCTGAACCGATTTTCACGAAACTTAGCACACTTAATTCTAGACCTAAGCCATCACGCTGTACGAAATTTCTTGCAAATCGAAGCATATTTACGGACTTTGGTGCATCATTTACCTTAAATCGGACGAATGTTTATATGGGAGCTATATATAAATCTGAACCGATTTTCATGAAACTTAGCACACATCATTCTAGGCTTAATTCAGTACACTGTGCCAAATTTCGTGAAAATCGAAGCGTATTTAGGGACTTTGGTGCACCATTTACCTTAAATTGGACGAATATATATATATATATATATATATATATAGGAGCTATATCTAAATCTGAACCGATTTTCACGAAACTTAGCACACATCATTCTAGGTTTAACTCAGTACGCTGTGCCAAATTTCGTACAAACCGAAAGATATATAGGGACTTTGGTACACCATTTACATTAAATCGGACGAACATATATATGGGAGCTAAATCTAAATCTGAACCGATTTTCACGAAATTTAGCACAAATCATTCTACAGTTAATTTAGTACGTTTTGCCACATTGCGTGCAAATCAAAAGTTATATAGTAGCTTTGGTGCACCATTTACCTAAAATTGGACGAAAGTATATGTGGGAGCTATATCTAAATCCGAATCGATTTTCACGAAACTTAGCACACACCATAATAGACTCAATTTAGTACGCTATGCCAAATTTCGTGAAAATCGAAAGATTTTTAGGGACTTTGGCGCACCATTTATCTTAAATCGGGCGAAAATATATATGGGAGTTATATCTAAATCTGAACCGATTTTCTTAAATTTCATAGGGTTTGTCCTTGGGCCAAAGAAGTGAGCTGTGTCAAATATCATCTAAATCAGATCATAAATGCGACCAGTACTTTGCTCACAAAAATACATGGACGGACGTACATGCATTAATCGACTCAGAAAGTGATTCTATGCATATTCTCAAATGGAACCATGTGACTATCTCGTTTCCTTTTGTCTGTTACAAACATATGCGCAAAGGCATAATACCCTGTACCACAGTGCGGTGAAGGGTATAAAAATCCACGCTCTAAGAGACCTACTTGAAAATATTCTTAAAAAGGTCCAAGCTCTAATAGACCTTCCTATAAATATTCCTTATAAAATCCACGTTCTAATAGACGCTTAATAGACTCTTTTTTGAAATTCACCCTCCTAAAACTATTTTCTCAAAATGTTCTTTAAAAAATCCACGCTCTGATAGACCTGCCGAAAAATATAGATTAAAAATCCACGTTCTAATAGACATTTCTAAAACTATTATTTAAAAAATCCACGCTCTAATAAACCCTCCTAAAAATATTCCTAAAAAAATCGAAGCTTTAATAGACTATCGGGGAGAACATATAACTTCTTCAATGGTGGCCGAAATAGCGGGTACATAAAAATAACACCACTAATTTGTGTCCAATTCTGTATAGGACATCCCTCTGTAGTGTTATTTCTTTAAGATCCCACAATCTTCTTCAATTCTATGTGAAAATGTCGTAATTTTCATAGCAAGAAAGCTTTTTATGATAATCTGTTTGCAAAAAAAAAATCGATGTAATCTTCTCATGTGAAATATAAATTAACATTAATTTACACACACTCACACATATGGATGTACAAATATGCGAATTAATATTGTATATAGGACAACAAAGTAATTTTTATGCCATCAAGGAATCGAAAGAAAATGCATAAGAAAAAAATCCCTTAATGCTTTACTTTAGTCCTCTGACAAAGAGAATAGAAAATGAATTCGGACAGAAAAACAAGAGAAAAAAATCGCAAGCTAATACTGCCACCAAGGTAAGCAGCGCAAAACACAACAAAGCTACGAATCTTAATTAAAAGACACGTTTAACTATTTATTAGCTGAGCAGGGCAACAGTCGTCCCATATATTTAAAATGTTTTTCTGGGTTTTGTTTTTTTTTTACTTCACACCACCACCACCTCCATTGCTACGACAACATTAGAAAATAAATTCCAATCCCCAAGGATGTGAAAAAAATTAAAGGAACATGTGTTTTTGTTTGCAGTCCACAGTTATTGTTGTTTATTTTGTTTTATTTCCCTGTACTATTACCTGCTTATTCGTCCGCCATTAAAGCGGTGTTGGAAGGCGTATAAATAATTAACGAGTTGGGGATGGGGGGGGGGGGGGGGGGGGGGGGTGGGGCAACTTTAATCAGTTTTCATATAAAGAAGAATATTTTAGCTAATATCGGAAATTAGAAGTAAAGAGCTGTTTTAAGCTGTTCAGAGTGACTGAAACGCATAAAAAGGAATTAAGGGTACCTTCCTCAGGCTCGGTTTCCAAGTTTGTATTTTAATTAAATCGAACAAATAACTACATAAGAATGCTTCTTGAAATGTTTAACTAAAAATTTCAAAACCTTTTGAGGGTATAACAGATTTATGCTTTGCAGGTTCACAAGTTTTTTTTTTATCTCGAAGCGGTGTAAGTCAAGCACTAACAATCGGTTTCATCGTATGAAATTGGATCGTTTCCCTTTTTTCCCCTGAACAATTTCAAAGTTCCGCTATTTTGTTAAATTATGTGCGATGCAAATAATCCTAGTCCATACCAGAACAAGTCATGTGCTCTTAAAAATCGTATGAATTTTAGGTTTCCGAAAATTCACATTCTAGACTTAATTCAGTACGCTATTTCAAATTTCGGGCAAATCGAAAGATATATAGGGACTTTGGTGCGCCATTTACCTTGATTCGGACGAAAATATATATGGGAGCTATATCTAAATCTGAACCGATTTTCACAAAATTTCGCAGATGTCATTCTAGACTTAATTCAGTACGATATTCCAAATTTCAGGCAAATCGAAAGATATATAGGGACTTTGGTGCACCACTTACCTTAATTCGGATGAAAATATATATGGGAGCTATATCTAAATCTGAACCGATTTTCACGAAACTTAGCAGATATCATTCTAGACTTATTTCAGTACGCTATGCCAAATTTCGGGCAAATCGAAACATATATAGGGACTTCGGGGGCAACATTTACCTTAAATCGGACGAAAATATATATGGGAGCTATATCTAAATCTGAACCGATTTTTCCCAATTTCAATAGTCTTTGTCCTTGGCCAAATAAATGAGTCGTGCCAAATTTCATCCAATTCGCGTCATAAATACGACCTGTACTTAACATGGACAGACAGACGGATTCTATGCATATTCTCAAAAGAAACCATGTGTCTATCTCCTTTCCATTTGCCTGTTACAAACATATGCCTGTACCACAGTGTGGTGAAGGGTACAATTACCAAACATTGAACTATTTTGAAAATTATCTGGTGAGAGCTATTTTCTTTTACCAAGAGCCGGGTATGCCAAGTTACAGCCTTTTCGGTTGGAAAATATGGTCAAAACACAAACTCATAATACTGATAATTGGTCGGGACCTTTATACTATGCCAAATTTTGACTTTTAGGGATCAATTTCTGCTCAGTAAATTCCAAATTGGAGTCGTTTTGGTTGAAAAATGCTGCCACGTTCCTCAAAATACGGAAAATTAGTCGGACCTGTATATCAAAACATGGATCTAAAATGAAGTTGCCTGAAATGCCAAATACCTTTATATGGGAC